AAATTATTTATTTAATTATAATAAAGTTACAATAAGTTAATATATAATTATATATACAGTACCTAATTTATATATAATTAATATATAATTATATGTACAGTACCTAATTTATATATAATTTATATATAATACTGTACAGACGATAGTAAACTCAATTTACCCGCCTAAATTCTCCGTAGCGTGGTGCTAGACGGCGGAAAGTATACATATAATTATAATAAAGTTAAAATAAATTAAGTTAATATATAATTTATATACATACCTTTAATTTGGTTGAAGTTGGCAACAGTGCCAATTGGTACATACTGATCACTATCCATCTGAGAAACTAAATAGGTATCAGTGGCCAAGTTTTCTCTGGAAAAATAATACTCTAATTGTTGTTGTAACAGACTTCTTAGCTGAGGAAGGGGAATGGTCCCGTCAGAAGAGTGGATATCATCTGTTTGTTGAATATTAGGAGTGTCAGATTCAACCTGATCCTGTGAAAGAGACAGAAGGTCCAAGAGCAAATCAACATTGGCAGTGCCATTCATTGCCACAGGTAATTCTTGCTCATTGCCACTACAATCCTCAACAGCTATCTCCAATTTGGACCCATCTTCAGGAAATAAACTCTCACGCACACAGCACACGGCTTCTCATTTTAAAGCTGAATAAGGAACTGTACGTCCTGTAACGAACAAGAGGGGTATAATTTATATATAATACTGTATAGACGATAGTAAACTCAACTTACCCGCCTAAACTCTCCGTAGTGTGGCGCTGGACGGCGGAAAGTAGTTTGGCTGCTCGTCCGCGATGACGAGTTGGCGATGACGTTTTACGCATCCCTTTTAGCGCCTTTATACGAATACTGTCGCAATTTTTTCGCCGCGTTATAGGAATCTACGTTATAGGAACCCGCGTTATAGGGGGGTCTACTGTATAAGAATTTCAATTTTGTTACTTTTGTGATTAGAATACTTTATTTTCCTTAATATTGGTTGGCACTCGTATTGAATATTTTATCTGTAAATTGGGACATGAGATTAAAGTAGTTGATGTATAAAATTCTTTGTATTGAGTGAATACTCATAAGTTAGGTTACAATGCTTTCCTATTTTGTATAATTGACTGTATTTTTTTTTGTTTAACCTGAGCTATGAAAACCATACAATATTGAATTGTAAGGTTTTGTAGTGTAAGTTATATCTATCTAGTCAAGTAACCAGTTAATCAATTATTTCTGTATTTTTTGACTTTATAAATCAAATGTAGGAACAAATTATTAATTTTAAAAGTTTTAACTACTAAAATTTAATTTACTTATTAAAATATTTGACTGCTACCTCTAACCCAAATTTCATAATATAATAAGGCTATAAATTAGTCAGTTTATTTCAGAAAATCTTGATGATAATTGATTACATGTTTGACTTTATAATTTTATATAAATTTTTCTTACTTTCCCCACTTCACTATTACAGCTAACTTTGAATAATTATTCTTTTACATAATTTTTGAAATCAGGTTTTACTGTAGTACAATCCCTAAAGCACATTTTATTTAAAGTATTTCTTTAAATGATAATTGTTTATACATTAATTAAATATATATATTTATATTTAAAATAGAAAGCAGCAATACAAATTTTTATAAGAGAATGTTTTCTTTTTTTTCAGATATTGGTCTTCTCTACGTAATTTAGTGATATCTCTTTTAAGCAGTATGAGATCCATAGTCAGTTTATTGTTTCTTTTGTTCTTATTTATTCTCATCTTTGCCCTCTTAGGGATGCAGCTGTTTGGTGGAGCGTATGTATCAATTACAATAAAAAAAAAACTTTTAAAAATAAAATGTTAATAATTTTTAAAATTAATATATTTTCCATTCTAGCTTTAATTTTGATGATGGCACGCCACCAGCAAATTTCAATTCCTTTCCTATTGCCTTGCTTACAGTATTTCAGGTTATTTTAAATTCCTTTTTTGTAAATATATTTGTGAATATATGTTTTTAATTTTCAAAAGTTATAATTGTCAAGAAATTAAAGTAAATATAAGAATGAAGAAATACAATAAGACATTTAGATAATACAGTGGAACCTGGTTAATGCAACTTAGTTGGAGGAAAAAAATTTCAGACTTTGAGTTAAAAAGTTTTGAGCTGTGGAGGTTCAGCTAAAAATCAAGAATTTGTGCATTAGTTTATTGATGATTTATAATAAACTATCCATATGATATTTTTGTGGGTCTTCTTACATAGAATTGTTGTATCAATGCAAACCTCTCTGTGTTGTCCAAAAACTCCACAATGCTTGATTAAATGGGTAAATAAGCTATTGAGAAATGCTTCCCAAATGGCTGATTTGTTCACTCCTAAGTGTTTAGTAAGGAATATTTTAATTGTAATATTTCAAGTCTAGAATTTATCTGTTTTTTTAAAATATTTTATCACAGAATAACCATTCTTTACAATTTTTAAAATTTTGCTGTAAAGGTTAAAATTTTTACACAGAATTGGACTATAAACTTTTTTAAAAATTAATTTATCAAAAATCTATTTATTTATTGTCAGTTAGTTGGAGAAATCTATCTGCAATCAAATAAAACAAAAAAAAAATGTACTTAGTTCCTGCACTTTATAGAAAGTTTCTGATTAGTTTATTTGATAGATGAATGTTAATTTAAATTCAGTAAAACCCCTCTAGTCCGCCTTCGGCTAGTCCGTCACTCCGGTTAATCCGACCGTGGTCGGAGTTGAGAAACTTGTCCCGACTCGTCGGTGACTCACCGTCCGTGGCGTTTTTCTGTGTTCGTTACAGTATATGTTTTACATTGTGTGTACATGTACATTTTTGTGTGTGTTTTCAACATGTCAGGAGTGAAACGTAAACATGTTACTCTTTCGTTAAATGAAAAATTAGCAGTATTACAACCACTGGACAAAGGGAAAATTGTTTATTTTACTTTTTTCTGATAATCCGATCTTTTTTGCATTCCGACCATACCCCCAGTCCCAAAGTGACGGATTAGAGGGGTTCTACTGTATTTTATTTAACTTAAAACTCCAGAGAGTTTATGAAAATACTGTATCAAAACCCCATTCAAGTTAAACAGTTTGACAAATATGAGTTAACCACTTTGAGTTATCCTGGTTCAAGTTATCTAGGTTCCACTGTATTAAGAAATCTATGAAAGTTTTAGCAATAACTATGATTATTAAATTGCATAATCATACTTAAAATTAATATTTTTGTGTTTTAATATCATATTTCATATTTTTCATCTTGCCAGGTGTTTTAATATCAGTTAAAATGATTCTAACAGCTAATTAGTAAACTCTCTGTTAAACAACTTAACAGAAAATAGAAGAAATTTGTTGCACTGATGTTAAGTGATTTGTTACTTAGATATTAAGGACTTCTGTTAATAAATCTTTGTAATTTTTATGATTTGATAAAGGTGTACCGACTGGTCCGACTCCAAGTCGTGTTGCCATAGAAACAGCTATCGGTTCACCGACCAGTCATTCCAGTCAGACAGATTTAAATATTTGTAGTCGGATCAGAACAGTCAGTGAGGTACAGCCAATGAGAGCTTTAAAACTACAACCAATCAGACTTTGGATATATGAAAACTATCAAATCAATCAAACATAACTTTACATGATATATATTTTTTAATGTATTAAAATTTTTTCTTGTATTTTATTTCTTTCATAACTGCTTAAATTTTATATGGGAACACATATGACTTTAATATATATATTAAAAAACATTAACAACATAATGAGAAAAGATGGTAATATTTAGACTTTTCGGAAGAATTTATAAACGAAGTAAGATCATATCTGCAAAGTTTAACTAGGTAGATTACAAAAATATTTTAAAAATTAGAAAAACTTAAAATCATTTCTAACGCCTGTTCCGATCGGTTCTTATGAATCGGCCACCGACATATAATTGCAATCAATGTGAATGCTTTTACTACTAGTCTGTCCAATTATAGGATAGTGTGAAACAGCCCTAAGAGTATCTAAATGGACACCTGCCAGGTTGATGGATTGGTCTGTAGCAACTGCAGACATCATCTTCTGCACATGGCTGTCTGAGTCACTGGACCTCACAGTGTACAGTTTCTTCCTGTGGAGTTTTGTCAAGGACAATGTTTACATCCCTCCACTTTCAGTGACGCAGTTGGATTTATGGAGGTGCATCAACGTCTCCATTAGGAACATCATGATAACACAGTAGCTTCCACAGTTTGATATCAGTAAACATGCAGTGTCAATGTAGTTGGATATGCTTTACAGAACTTTTCATAAAGTGCTATATAAATTGTTGCAGGATTAGCAATATGAAATGGTGATTTAAAAATCTGATTAACATGCTTTGATATTCCTTGATCAAGTATCCAATACATTTTATTAGTATGCTATTCAATAAATTCTTTTGCACTCATCAATGAGTTGTCATTGGGCTGTTTGTTCTTTTTTGAAGAATATTTTCAAATTGACCTGTAATCTATTCCTTACTGCTCAGAAGTATGAAAAGATATTGAACAGTTTTGTTGTCCTACAACTACAACAGTAGAATTTATTGATTTGGTCAGTTTTATAGTAGTAGAATTAATAAAAATGATTATAAGACATAAATGATTTAATTTTAAAAATAATTAATTAAATAAAATTGGACAATATGCTAGTGTGAAGAAATGATAATATATTTTTATAGATACTGACAGGAGAGGATTGGAATGAAGTCATGTATCGTGGTATTGAGTCTCAAGGTGGAATTCATGGAGGAATGATATATAGTCTTTATTTCATTATTTTGGTGTTATTTGGTAACTGTATCCTTTTAAAAATTAATAAAAATATTTTAAGTATAAGTTGTATAATTTACCTTGTTTGATAGCTATTATGGTATTTATTTTTGAATAATAATCAATAATAAGAATAATAATGTTCAATGTAATCAATGTTTTGTATAAATTTTAAAATTATTTATGTCCTTTTGAATTCCCTTCCATGTTATAAAATCATTATAGATTTTTCACAGATATTTAAATTAGCTAAAGCACTTATATGGATTTAAAATACATGTAACTAATTTTATAATCCTAAACAGGCACATTTCTTATAATGCATAAGGCCCTGTACACACTAGGCGTTTTTCAACGCGTGTTTAACGCCGAGCTAACGCGCGTTAGCTCGGCGTTCGACGAGCGTTAGTTCGGCGTTTAGCACTGGCTCAGTTTGGAAATGGACGAGAAAGTAATTGATTGTGTGTGCTCCTCCATCGTCGCTATAAGGTAGCACATATATCTCAAAACGCCCGTAAAGTGCC